GTGCTTAAGAGACAGGCCAATCGCTGTGAAGGCTGCTAATACTTGTTCCTGGCCTTTTTTTCTCATCTTACCAAAAATGTCTGTGGAAGAGAAGTTCCTGTATGTGAAGGGTTAATCTACCTGTGTTAAGTCCACTAGCAGTTTGTCTGTCACTCTCTGTGGAGGATGAAAGTGGACATGACCCAGTATTCTTCAGGAGGTAAAAAAAATTACTTTTCTTTAAGTGCTATCAGAGAACAATGATGGTCATTGAGTATTGCAAGGGCTGTAGAAACCCTGCAGAGAAGGGCCGAGACCCCCATGCCAAACCTGGTGAGAAGTAGGGGGGCTGTTAAAGTAGCTCCAAGGAGGGTACTGACTTCAGCAACAGTGTCAGTGTCAGGCACCTCTTTATACAGTAAAAAGCAGCACCTCTTGAACCTTCCCTTTTTCAGCTTTACACAGGCCTGGCTGGCTGGGGGAGCTGCCCTGTTTGCCTCCCAGGTTGGTGTTGATGCACTGTTCTGCAGCCTGGTAAACATGCAGGGCTTCATACAGAGAGACAGGAGCTACACTGAACTCGGAGTGCTGAGCTTCCTCTGAAGTGAGTCCAGTTTCTAGTGATGTGGTAAAAAAGGGAGCAAGAGCAGAAAGACTTAGAGGCTGCCACGCAGGAGGGCAACAGTCTGGGCAGTGACTAAACCCCACACCTGTAGCAAACCACCCCACAGCCTCCCACCAGCTAACACGCTGCAATTCTACTCACTTGTTACTCTTGGACTGAGACATACATGATTCATTTCTTTTCACACATTCATCCTCTAACTCTTCATCATCTGCACTGTTCTTACAACACCTCCCAGTTTCTGCACAGCGCACTGGCAGTGAGGTGCATTGTTACAAACAGCAGAGATCAAGGCAATGTTCAGGAAACCACACCATTTGCTGCAGAGGGAGTTGATAGAGATAGGCCAGGTAAACATGAAAGGAATGGCTTAGTTAGGATCAACTGAGCACAATCAATCAGCATGACAGCTCAGACTGAGGAGATAAAGCCACATTTGCATTTACACTCTAACCTGTTCTCTCAAAGCAGAACATTAGGATGTTTGCCTAGATGTTACAAATTACTTGGGGGGATGGGGGGGGGAAAGGTGCCTTGATGCAGGTAGCAATTACAGTGTGTTAGTTGTTCTGGCTCTTCCTGCAGTGAAACAGAACGATAGCTCTCACCAAGGGACTTAGGTGCTGCCAGGGGGAGAAATTCCTGCACAGTTCTTTGCGAGTTGGAGGTTAAAGTATGTTGTGTGCTGGCAAACATGGGCATATTAGAAAACTCTTTTCTAACAAAAAACAACCAGGATCAACCACTAAACTCATAGAAAATGAGGGGGGAAGCACAAACTGGATGATGAGGCAAGACCCAGGGATACTCAGTATCCTAGGATGTTTTTTGCATTTTTATCTGGCCAGATGCCACAGAAAGGCAGCCTGCTGCATCCCCGCTTGCCTGGTAGGTAGCAGCTTCTGTGTGTTGGACTGTGTGACAGTTCAGTGTAGATGGCCCAGTGGGAAAGCTGGTAAAAGGCAGAGCTTTATTAGCAATCACAGAGTTTGCAAAAGGCTATCGCTGTTTGCTTTCAGCCTTACCCTGACGCTGTGATTAGGGATGCACTGATCATTACTTGCTTATTAAGACTTCAAAACAAAGGGCAGAAATTTACTCTGGTCCTCTTCACAATCAGCCAGTGTACATATGAGCTTTTAGATTATAAAGCAGATGCAGGAAATACTGAAGTGAGATTTTTCTAGGGACGTTACAGGCTTTAGAACATGTCCTGCATGACTGGAATGAACCAAAGCTAACACTTCCTCCTTGTTTAGATACTAAATTGAAGTTCATTGAATCATTTCTTCCTTTCATGCAGGGAGACCTTTAAAGCCATGTACTCAAGTACAGGCTTGAGCTGACCTGTAAAGTTTAGTAACTATAATCAGCTTTTTGGAGAAAAGAAAAAAAAAAAAGTGTAAGCCTCCTTGCAGTCCTGAGTTAAGACCAAGACCTAGTGAGAGTGGGATTTTAGATTCATTATGTTCTCTTGCTTTCTATTAGCTAACTTGGTGGCTGCTGTTTTGGATCCTATTTTAAGATTATTCCCTTAGAGAATCTTCACTTCTGAAAGGAACTGTCTCTCTGAGGATAACTTGTGTGTCAGTCTGCTTCCCAGTGCAACCTGAGTGCTAAAATTCTGGAAACTAGTTTCTATCTGTATCAAAATACCCTTCCCTGAACACTTAATGAATGGTGCTTATATAATGCTTTGAATTTCTTAGACTGTAACATTCAACATTTTATATCTAAATCGTTAATGTTCTGTAAAGTAGCACAGTGATTTTAATAACTTCGATGTACTCTGCCATAAAAAATAAAAATAAAATTTGTATATCCCTCAGTGACCAAAATGGAAAATAAGACCTCAAATTTATTCTTAACCAATTCCAAGTCAGTTCCCTGATGTGACCATAATATTAGAATAAAACATATAAGCCAAGGATAATGCTATGCTCAATATTTTATTCATATTTTTATGTAAACATAATTTGCTTTGTAGGCACAATATAACAAAAGCTCTAAAGCAACAAATACAATTAAACAGTGTTTCAGTTCAATCAGGCTTAAGTTAAAGAAGCTTTCACAGTTCCTTTAAGGCAAATTGAGACATAATTTGTTTCACTTGAAAAAAACTACCCAATTGTCTTTGAGTTGTTTAAACAACACTGTCAGTAGTAAGCACAAACCTTAATTTCTACGACAATATGACTTGGTCAGTAACAAGTCTCAGCATTGTCATTTTGTATAGCATGCCCTTCCGATGTATAGCATACCACTTCCCATGCGATACTACTGTCTGTGGTACTCTAAAAGGTACTTAGGGCTTGTGGGCCAAATTCTGCTAGCACAAATCCTGCTTCCAGAACAGATACCTGAAAAATTTCCATTCATTTCAGTAGTAACCTCATATATGCTCCAGTAAAACCCAGAGTAGAGTTTAGCTCGATGGTAATACTCATCTGTGTTGCACTTGGGTAGATCCAGAAGTATTCCTTTGTACTCACTGCAATTACCTGATATTCTGCTGATCAGAAAATGGCCCTAAGATAGGTATGAATTAGCATGAAGAGTATTTTTGCCTTGCTAACAAAACCAGAAAGAACTAGCCCAAATAACTTCATTTGATTGTTGTCCCTATGGCGCCTGTGGCCATGACCAAGATCACCCATCTTTATTTGTCCTTAAGGGTAATTTAACTGTAGAGCCAACCATACTGCAGTTTATAACAGAAGAACAGATTTGCTATTTTGCTTGCCCTACTAATTTAAGGCCTTGAGAATGCCACTTTACTGCCAGTTCAAAGGTCACCAGCAATATTGCTCACTTTGGCGTCAAATCAAAATTCCTAGTTATGTTAAGGTTTGTTGCAGGACAACATCATTACACTAACTGCAAAACAAAATCGGGCATGTTTCCTACCACTGTCAGCTTATGAGTCATGGAAACTAAACGGCCTTTCTTAAAAGCCCAATTGGCAAGCCCAATGCACTGAAAAGTCTTACTGAATATATATATATATATATTTTTTTTTTCTGTGGATAAAGTCCCTGTTTGGGCCTGATATGGCACTGGAAGTGTAAGCTTGAAAAGAAAATCAACTATAGTGAAGTTTGCATCAATATCTAGAGAAAACTGAAGTTCTGGTTTGATTAGTATTTCAAAAGCTTTTTTTTTGGCATTATTCTCCACAGTCATTATTTTTGAATTTGTTTAACCCGAGGGAAACTCCTTCAGAATGAACATTCTGCACAATTATCTGGTATTAGAACAACAACTTCATGAGTACAGTGTAAAGAGATGGACACTGATGCTCAGGCAGCAAGATGAGACAAAGAGAAAAAACAAGAGAGAATCTTCTAAAACCACACATAAAAGTCATCCAGACTCACAAGTCATTTCACATCGAGAAAAGCCTGAGAAACCCTCCCTCTCCACTTTTCTATGTTAGTTTTTAACTTCTATCACTACAGGATACTTGTAGATTTAAGTGAACTAGCCATGCCTAGGGAAATACTTTATTTTGAAAAAAATATATTAATTCAAAGACATATGGCATTATACAAGGTCTCTGACATTCCTTTAGCGTTTCTACTGTAGGTGATTGCAGTCATTTTAAAACAATTGTTTTAACAAGACAGTTGAGGACCTGAGTAGCTGCTGCTTGGATAGGTGAAAAGACATGGAAAAAATACTTACTCTTGTCATGTTTAGATATAGTTTCCACTAGTGGGAGGTAGATAAGACTAGCTGGTCTTTGAATACTTGATCCTGCAAATAATTACAAACATAACTGTACATATGGAGCAGAGCTTTTGACAGAACTACTCACCTAGATAAAGTTACCCCTGTGCATAATTTCTGATGGGATTAAGGCCTAAAACTCATTTTTAACAGGGTTAACTTCTGTAGGAGTTCAGCTTTGACAGCTGATCAACACATTAGCAATTTCAGAGAAGTAAACTCCATCAACACATTTCTTTCCACACACTGATGAGTGATCCTTACCAATACAATTTAAAAATTAAATTTAAAGTTGCTTTGGATTTTGGACACAGATGAGTTAATATGTCCTTAGCAGAAGATGTTGATCTGTCAATAACAATGTGAATTGCTACAGGTAATTAAAGTTCTGGGTCTAAAACGAGTGGCTCACTTTTCCTTTGCCTGTAACATACAGGGTGATAGCTCAGATCAACAGGAAAGCATGAGAGTTGGCACTCTGAACGAAGTGTGTAATTACTGGTGCTGATGACTAACATGATTATACAATATTAATCAAAGTCTCTCAATTAAGGATTTCTTGCACAATTTCAGATTCCACAATTCTAAATGAGGTATTTTTGAAAATGAAGATAGGATTCCTTCTAAAATGTTAAAGCATGACTGAGAAAATGAAAAGTAATCTTTTTTGCAACTTTTATCTGTGGTTCATAAAAGGAAAACTATTTAACACTGAAAATCCACAAACTGAAAATCCTCCCTCCAGTTTCTAGAATCTTCCAGACAGCATGTGGGGAATTTTTTTTGTTACTGTTTCCAACTTTCAAAAAAAGCCCAGACCCCTCAAATAACTTTAAGCAAAATGTTGGAATTTGCATGAGAAAGATGCCCATCTAAGATTACACAGTAAGTTAATAAGGCTTTTAAACCAGGAAAGAAAAATCCATGGGACTCTTACAGGGCAAGTGGGTATTACACAGGAATGTCATAATACTGCACTGGATGAGAATGGCACTTGAGTTCAAAACAACAATGATCAACAGCTCATAGCTCAGCTGACTGCAGACAAATACAACACACACTGTACTACAGCATTTGTTCACTGATGCACAGAATAGATTTCCCAGTCTTGTTCCCTTCTACTTCATCAACCTTTCTGCTTCCACCACCTCTGGCAGTTACTGGATGAATGGCATGCGCTCTTTATTCTCATTGTCCCCTTCATGGTCTTCTTCCTCTTCTCCAGCCTCACTTGTCTCTGTGCTGTCGTTGGCCATCTGCAGGACGAAAGATGAAGGACATCGGAGGACCTTTCACATTGTTTTATTCATTCTTATTTCAGTTTAATTCATTTGTTAAAATGACTTTAAAAATGAAAGAAGACATGGTCTCAACATGAAAATAAACATTGTCTGTGCAAAACTTTTGTTGGCACCACACCACTTCCAGCTAAAGCTGTCGGCTGTTCCCTCACAGCTTACTGAATTACCAAACAGAAGGCTGCTTTGTAGGACAGCTGCACAAGTGGACTCTGATCCATGTATTTGTAGCAAACGGATATTAAGGCTCTCAGATAGGAAATACAATTGAGTAGGTTTAAGTTTACAGAATGTGTGAGACCTCTGGTTTACAACTCCTTCTGTATCTGCTCTTCCAGAAACGGGTAACACTGTTCTTTAACACCAGCTAATGGATGGGATCTGGTGCCGTATACTGTCAGGAAAACTCAGCAGAGCAACTGTTTTGTATAAAAAACAATTAAACTTTATAGAGCAGTGGATCTGCAGATGCTGGCTCAACATAACCATGTCAGAGCGCAGATCTTGGATTGCACAGGAGTGGGGAGAAACTGCATTGCCATATTTTATTGAAGATGCCTGTACAGGTAGCAGGCAATCACAGAAATTTGTACTTCAGGATAGCATTTAAGGAGCACATTGTGTTTTTTCACATGGGAATATTCATTATAAGCTGTGCAAAGGTGCAACACTCTCCTGTACTTCACCTTGTCAGTCTGACTTCTCTCTGGAGGCAAAAGACTCCAGTTAACTGGACAGGTGGTAGATCAGTATGGCTGAATTCTCTCAGACACCAACATTACCTCTCTTAAGACACAAGAAGATTATTGTATTAGCTTACAACTATTTCAAAACCAACTAAGCAAGGGATTCATTTACTTTTTAAAAAGAAATGCAGTGACATTGTACCTTCCTGTTTGGTTACTAGTCTCTGGTTGAAATAAAAAATCTCAAACAAAACCTGGTTTTAATGGAGAAAAGCAATGCTCTGAAGTGACCCATATTTTTTAATTAACACTCTATTGTGAAATTGTGTCACATTTGTTCTCACCTTCTAACCAATGGCTATTGTGAATAAACAGTATCAACAGAAGAGAGGGAGTGAATTATTAATGTTGTGTTATGGATTCTTGTTTACAGTTGTAAGACGTAATTCAGTTACAATATAATGCTCACTTCCCATATGTGAGGTCCCAAAAGCTTTCCTTTTCCTTGCAGTGATTTTGTACAATGTTTCGGGCAAATTTTAGAGAAAGTGCGAGGAAGAGCTTAACTGTAATTCCAGGTTCTTTTCTGTTCTTTCGAAACAGGAGATATCGCAGGTCTGAAAGCAAACTCCATATATCAGTATTGATCTGAAGTCAGTTTTCATTACCTTCTTTACTGCTCTTTCCTACATCATCAGTGAATGTTCAGGTGTGAGCCTGACTCTCATTTACTACTGCTCTCTGTAATGTTTCAGGACCATGTGGTACCAGAGCTCCATCACAACTATCTTCCTTCAGAACATTTCTAGAAGGAATTATTTAGATATTATACTTCATGTTATAAAAAAGTAAAATAAATTTGCACCAAAGGTATACTCTGGCTTTTGTGTGGGAATCAGAAAGCACTTCTACGTTTGTACACTGAACTAATATTGACTGTGTCTTTTCCTGTTCGATCCACTTGGCTATTTGTTTTCCATCACAGGGACAGAAATAGATGTGTCAGTTTAACCCTGATCTAGGACTTGCAGACACATTTTTTGGAAAGGCAGATAGCCATTCAGTATAGAAAAGTAACTGCTGGGACTCTAGGAATTACAGTTACACTTCACTTTGGGTTAAATATAGAAATTACGATTATTCATTGTTATTTAGGTGCTATGGATTTAGAAGAAAATGGCATAAAAAAAATCATAAGGGACACATCTCCAAAAGGCACTACCACGCTTTAACTTGTGTGACTGTACACTGTGTATGTGCTTTACACTCACCAGGGGAGTGGGTGCTTTCTCCACATCCAGAATTAGTTTTCCTATATTTCCTCGGTCATGGATTCTCTGCATGGCCTCCTTCACCTGAAAGAAAGAGAACCTATTGATAATTTTCAGGCACACACTAAGAAAAGCCTGAATTCCTTCCAAAACCAGCAATACATTTAAGGAATGCTATGTGCAAGGTCATTCAAACAGTAACTTGAAATAAAATTAATAGTTAACCATTTTTTTAGTGAATTTCTAAGGCCTGATTTTTGCATTGTGTTTGCCAAATGGGATGTGAGTCTCGATGACAGTTTCTGCATAGCATACCATGTACATAACGTTTCTGCAGTGTAACAGTAATGGTGAGCTGAGGTGCAGACAGAAATATAGGCTCAGGGAGTTAATCCTTACAGGTTGTTCAGTGGATTTTCTCTTTGCAGATTATTTATCAAGAAATCCTCCTTTCAGTGAAAGTATGAAGTGTTTTCCTAATTGACCTATGATATTTTTCAATTAATTTCTTTTGTATTCCTGTAGAGGGAATGCTGTACTCAGGCAGTAGCTGTGATTAATGCAATGCTGTGGTTCTCACTGTATAAGCAAATATTTCTTTCCTCCTTTTTCCCACATTTTTTCCTTTTAAAAAAAAAAATTAAATAAGCAGTGTCCTACAATACCACTAAGACTAGACATGTAACAGCTGGCTGCAATTAGCACAGGTGAGAAAGGAACAAACACCTCTTCTTACTAGTGCACAGGAGAGGAGCTTATTTTGATGTATGAAATTTCAGAACTCATGAGAGCTCGGTGTTGATGAATTGAAATTGTGTGTGTGTTGCACTGAATGTTCCATGTGCAGCATGGAGACCACTATTAAATCACTGACACTGGAAGATGTCAAGAGTTTCCTCACTTTCATGGTGGGAAACTTCAGGAACTGAAAATGTACACATAAAGGCTGTTTCATATCCTCTGCACACTATTTTTTGCTGGCATAACAGGATATGTTGCGACAAGAAAGTTTTATGTTAATAGGATCTACCATCTGTGACATAGTTTTATTAAATATTTTAAGAATAATGGCACATAAGTTTGAAACAATATGCTGACTTGGGAACAGGTGGGTCCCACAGTATGTTTAAAAGCCTGAATTGGGGTCCAAGCACCTAAGATAATTACTGAATGTCTAATACAAAAGGAGGTATGAGATTTTTAAAGATACTAAGCAAATATGGCTTTCAACATTCATTTAAATTTAATGGATGCTGGGCAAAAAATGTCTTTACCATCTGTTGGTTTCATTTTGAAAGCTGACTGCAGTGAACTCAATATTGTAACCTTAATTTTGCCAAGTGGCTCCCTCAATTAGTAAATACCAGACTTGAAAAAAAAATAAAATCTGTTAGAACAAAAGAAAAACTGCACTGCAAAGCACAATGATATTCTAATGTAGGGCATTATTGTAAATTAACCTTGGAAAACACATCGCATGAATCCCATCAGATAGAAGGCTGACCTCTAAAAGCAGTCCACAAAATCACTATACCTTACAGCATAAACATAGCCTAACTATAATTTTAAGACCTGTTCTGCACTATGGACAATATTCCTCTAAGAACATCCCAAAAAGATCCTGAAGAAGCAGCAGCTGTAATATTTTTTTATGACTCTTATTAGCCAAATAAAGCTTTTAGGAGTCTCTAGCATGGCATAAATAACCAACATAGATGTGACAGAACTGGAGAAATCGGCAAACACACTTGCCCATCCATTGAAATTTATTACCAGAACATCATGTGGAAAGCAGGGTACGCAACATTTATTTTAATTTGTACCATATCATATTTAGCAAGGCAAATTTGAGAGAATGTGCTTTCCCTGCATTTTTCACAAGCACAATATCAAATTTAGGACTCTGGAGAAAGGTTCAGGAGTTGTTTCCAGGATGCTTGCAAATGCAAACAGCAGGCAGAGGCAAAGGGAACAATAAAACTTATAACAATAACAGTGGCTATGGAATCCAGATGGAGCTATTAAAATATATAACAAATTTGGAAAAAAGTGTGAAGAGCTGATACAACATCTGTATATTTTAGTGTTATTTGCAACTTACCTACCCAGTTAGTCAAACTCGGTACTAGTGCAATGCCATTCAGTACACTATGTCTGAGTTAAGAGACCATGAGCTATTTTATAAATGAAGTAATTTTTATATTTAGGCTGCTAACAGCCCACTTATTCAACCAACACTGCAACTACTTGAATATGAAAACTATTCCCTCCTATTCTATAGAGGGCAGAGAGCATCAAAAACCTTCTTTGCTCTGCAAGTATGGTTAAGGCTCAAGTTGTTCTATGCAGACTATAGAAAAGCATTTACTTTTTCTGGTCAACATGTAAGTGCTGCGTCTGGTCTGCCTTTTGCAGAGCGTGGTGTGGAGCTTCTGCTAAGTCCGTGCCTGAGTGTTTGCAGGTTACCAATGAAGACAGTGAATCACGCTGCACTTGTTTAAAATCAGACCCAGGCTTAGCTGGTAGTACAAGGAGGCATGTGGAAATCCTGGAATTTATTGAAGGTTCTCTGAAGTTCTTGAAGTTTGATTCAAAATAAATATCCCTTCTGGTAGCAAGGATCAAAAGAGTTTCCCTCTTTTTACAGAATCGTGTCCCTAAATTACTTCTCACCAATTATTCAATATTGGTTGCTATTTGCATGTCAGCTCAAATCCAAGTAAATGGATCTGACAGACTTTTGTTTATGTGGATGAGTTAATTGAATTTCTTCTTGTGCAGTATCATCACCAGAGGGCTCTTGGATTGGAAATAGTGCAAAGGAGTGTTTACCAATATAAAGAGTTTCCATCCAAATAAAGGACAAACATTGCGTTGGCCTTTGCTTTCAGTATAGCTCAGCCCTTAGAGGGTTTGTGTCTAAAAAACTGCCCCAAACTTCACACAATACGTAACACAGAGCTCTCCACTGGAATCGGAACTACTTCTAAAAATTAGTGAACAACTGGAAAATGCTTCCACTTTCCATGGTACTCATGTAAGGAAAGTTGGCAAACTAGTTACCGAAAAAAACCAAGCAAGACCCCAAATGCTGCACAGCCACGTATTGCGTGATGAATCCAGCGCAGGCACTCCTAGGCAGCAGCAGAGGAAAATGATTAATAGCAAAGGAGAAATAAAAGGCATCCCAAGTTTGCCTTTTCCCTCAAGCACATTTGCATTCATTTGTATTTTAGGCTGACATACTGTTTTTAAGCATACTCTAGAGTAGAATTCTCTTCCCCTATCTGTTCAGTCTAGCGGAAAATGATACCAAACAGAGAAAAAGGGCCTTTCTAACTCAGTTTGAAACAATTTGTATTTGCTTTAGGGAATATGCTTTTATAATTGGAGAAACAATTTTTAACAAGTATATTTCTCCCATGCCTTTCAGCTCTACAAATGACAGAGTCGTGGATATGTTATCAGATATCTTCAGCCAAGTGTTTTTCAGCAATGACAGTGAATCTGGAAATTAAGCCAACCTATGCAATGATGAAGTCATCTGTAAAACAAAAAACATGGTCTAGAAAGACAAAACCAATGTACCTCAAAGTCCTTTACAAGCCCTGCTTACCATGCCCTGTGAGAAATATTCAAATTCTCATTTTCCATCATAACTCCCAAGCACTGCAGATTTTCTGAGCCTTCTGCGAGCTCCTTCCTCATACTGCTCTGCTGGACTCAAGCAGATAGGTAAGGAATATAAAAATATAGAGAGCTTAATCGGGAACGCACAGAACCATTGCACTGTGTCAATGTTATAGGCAAAATTTAGCAGCTCTAACATTTCTTAGAAAATTTTAATCTATTAACACACACTTGCATATTTAAAAAGGTGTTATGCTACCAATGCTACCAACAGAATTCTTCAAAGAGGTCCTAATACAAACACAGGATAAAAAAAAAAAAAAAATCACAAAGCTGGCAGAGAAGATCTGTTGTGAAAATCCTATTCAAGTATATTTTCCTGAGGGGATGTTACAGTTGGGATCTCAGAGCTCCTCTTGGATCAGAGCCATTTCTGTTTCTGTCCATCTGTATTGTGTGTCACACTGAGAAGAGCAACAATTACTGTCAATAGACCTTGGTAGGAGAGTAAGAGCAGAAATGCCTTCATGTTACCAGTCAGAAAATGCTCTAAAAGAGCTTTCAGGACAGCTGTGTTCTCTGGAAGTTTGACAACTGTACTGAGTCCTCTCCAACACCACCATAGTGTCTCTCTTGGGGTACCCCTCAAAACTGTCAAGCACTTTGGCTGTTGTGTCCTCTTTAAAATTTCTTATTCTGCTTCAAATAAGCTCATCTTCTACAGCCTCAAATCTTTTCAAAATCAAGCCGAGGCATTTATCTTAATCAACAATGGTAATTTTCAGAATATAGTTTAATACTTTCATCTACTACCAAACTAGATTTTCTCTGTCTTCAAAAACAAGCTGTAACAAGGCCTCACTCTAACAATTTTTATATAGGTAAGTATTGCAAAAAGTTAGTATTTTTAAAAGTCTGCATACAAACTAAATCAGAAAAGCAAAGAAATAGCGAGTTGACCAGGCACACTGGGTTCTAGATCCAAGGGACAGATATCTGCCTTGTCTTTCTCCTTTCAAATGTCTGAGCTGTACAGGCTTTCAAAGAAAAAGCAGGTAATGATATATAGTAAAGAATCGGATTTTGGAAATTCTAATGATGGATAAGTCTGGAATTCCATGTGAATCTAACAGATTTTTAAAATCTGGATTGAGGAAGCTCAACACTTGTTCCTCCCAATGAGAACTTTGAAATCAACTGGTTGTGCCAATAGTTGTTTGCAAATTCAGAAATGATGCCACACTTGGGGTTATGGCATGCAAAATTCTGCTCAGCCTTCCTTCACTGATTAAAAAATTTAAATTATTGAGTATTATAATCCTGTCCAGTTCATACAAGAGCAACACAAAGAAAGCAACAGAAAAACCTCAGTACCTCTCAGGTCAATGCTTTGACTAGGCAGGTGTATGTATTTTGGGGTATTCTGTTTGTGTGCTTTGGGTGACTGTTTATTT